CCCTAGTACTCGTCTTATGTATTTGTATAATTGTATTGATCTTCAACCTGCCTCATGGCCATCATGGCAAACAAGTAGAATTGGGTGGGTTCAAACACTACAAGCAAAATGCCTTTTACCAACGGAAGTTTATACTGACGGATTGAAATCCGTTTGTATACACGGGTCTATATCAACGGAAAAATATATCCGTCTGTATAGACAAGTCTATACCAACGGAAAAATATATCCGTTAGTATAGGTTAGGTCTATACAAATGAAAAATTATATCTGTTAGTATAGATTAGGTTTATACAAACAAAAAATTATTATCCATCTGTATAGAGAATATCTATACCAACGGAAATCATCTTGCGTTTGTATAAATATATTTATACATACAGATTTCTATATACTGTCTGTATAATTTACTATTTGTTAAACTCAATTTTTTCCTCTTTGATTTTAGCCGGCTGTCCTTATTTTCACTTCCCTCCACATTTTCCCCAATTTTCCTTCTCTACATTCCGAGTTTCCCTCCCCAGCTAAACCTAAATATTTCCCTCTCCCAAATCTAGTTTGACTCCAACCTTCGCCAAAATTCATTTCCCTTTTCTCTCTCGTATCCTTTCCCTTTCTCCTTCTCGCTGTTCATGCCATCATTGTCCGATCGAAGGGGCCAGCCGACGTTCTCTTTGTGGGACAGTTCTCCAATAGCGCAAATCTGACATTCGATCCAAAAAATTTGGTTAACCTTGATGACTTTTCGACTTGATCTAGCACTGGGGACCTTAGATCCATGTTTCAGACTCCGATCGACCCTTTGGTGGAGCCGACTAGTGTGTGCATGGAGGACAGATTCGATGTTGGCGGTTCTGGATCTCCGATGCTCAATTTGGCGGGCCTCTTTCTCCAGCGTAACCGCTGAACTTCTCATTCCTTGTGCTTCAAAATCTGGTAGCTTCCTTTCAACCCTAGATCTAGTCTGTTTAATGTAATGCGTTTTGAGCATAATCCTAGGGTTATGTAGTGAAACAGTGTGGTGATAATTGGTGAAATTAAGCGAATTGTGCAAGCCGTGAGGCTTACCATGGTGATCCAACGGAAACTGAAGGCTCCCATTCTCTTTGCTTTCCTCAATTTCGCTCTTCATCCAGGATCTGAGGCGCATAGTAAGCTGTTTTCTTCTCTTCCAAAGGTAAAGATTCAAGCTTTCTTTATTGAGCGATTCATGTTGAGAAAAGTGATTATTTTGAAAGTGTAAGGTTGTAGCAGTTGTTATGATGCGTGTTCATCAATTTGGAAACTTGTGTGGATTACATTCTCCAACATTGCATTGCTCAACATTGGTGATACGAAGATGAGGATGATATGGAAGTTGATATTGCTGCCTCTTCACTTCAAGCTTCTGCAAAACATCCATTACCGGAGCTGGAAATCTACTGCTACTTGCTTGTCTTGATATTGCTGATTGATCAAAAGAAGTACAATGAGGTGAGTGAACAAATATTGTTTCATCAAGGATCTTTTTCTGTGTCTATTACATAAGTAACATAGCAATCGTTGTTTTAAGCAAAAGCTTGCACCTCTGCAAGCATTGTTCGGCTGAAGAACGTGAATAGGAGGACTGTTGATGTTCTAGCTACTAGGCTTTACTTCTACTACTCTCTCAGCTATGAACTACTTACCGGTGACCTTGCTGAAATTAGAGGGTAACTTGTATTTCACTATTTTCATTTTTTAAGATATCCTAGTGTACCCTGGACTGTGTACTTATTCAAAAGTGAAGCACAGTATTAGATTCTAGCTAGGTCTGACAAAAAATG